TACAGTATACGTTTAAGCTGATACTGTTTCTGTCCCAGGATGAAAGCTGTGTTATTTCCCTGACACTAACTCGTCAATATCCTGACGGGAGGTCTGGAGCTTTAAACACGTTGGCATTTTATATTGGGTCCAGGCTTTGGGTTGGCATGAAGCAGAATCTCCATTCTACCAAGCTATGCAGCTCCCGAAAACCAACATAAAATCCGTGTTTCTTATTGAACTTTTTCACTGAGAACATTGGAGAGCTATATGAACAGTCAGCTTCTTCAATAATGTAATCATCTAACATCGCCTTAACTTGTCATACAAACTACTCCCCTTGAAAGTAACGTGGAATTTTGTGTTGTGATAGATGTGGTTTCCCAACACGTCACAGGGATTTCATGAGTTACCTTAGTACAGCACATATAGGGGTTAATAGATAGTGCTTATAATTATAATCGGTTATTCTCCTGTCGAGTTAACTAATAAACCTACTTATTGAAGAAAATCAGTCCTAGGATTGTTCATTGTACCTTAGGCAAATCAGTGAAAGGGAAGGTTATTTTTCGACCACAATGTGAACGATGCTGTGAGACACACTTGTGATTTTCAGACCATGTCCATCTATTGTCTTCACTGCTAAAACATATGTTTTGACTCTCTGGCGATGACTCTTATCTGCTTGTGAAACTAACACTCATGCATTTATTAGGAAAAAATCATCGATCACTCAGAATACACTCCAAGTGTCTCGATACACCCGAAACCTTCCAGCTTAGTCAGACAGAAAGAACACACTTTACATTGTTTAAAATACTTCCTTTTTCGTCTTTTCCGGACAGTATTTCAGCCGCTGTTCTGGCTTTCCTTAATCAAAGCATCAATCTTTACTCATGCACAAATTCGTAGCAATGCACTCACTGATACGAATCTTCAATTAACTGTTCCCACTTGTAGGGATAGCATTGAGTGTTAAGGCAGAAAAATCACTTCTTGACTGGATCCCAGTAGGTAGTCGTATATGTACGGTGCGTCTGAGCAGGTCCGTTAGAAGAAGGAGGGGCGGCGTTACCCATCGTTATCTTTTCGTAGTCTCCGCTTACGGCCTAACAGACTGCATTTCGGGTGGACTAAAGGATGACTTCTACATGAAACTGTCTAATTTGCTGCAAAAAGCAAGACGTCCAGATATAGTTGTTTCAATACCCGAGTAGGGAAGTTGTACCAGACTGAAAAGTATGTAGGTGACATGTATGAAGTTCCCTACCGACGAACCAACAACGATGATCGTCTTCTACAGTTCTGTTCAGATAATCATCTGTTCCTAGTCATCACTAACTTTAGGCACAACGAGAGACACTGCGTAACCTGGCGACCTCCATCACCAAATCAATGCTGGACTCAGATAGACCACATAGCGATAGGGTATGGTTGGCGAGGGTCAGTAGAAGACTACCGCTTCTTCTGGAACACTTGTGTAGACACTGATCAGGCCCTGGTTCGCTCACGTTTATCCTCACAACTAAATGGAAATCGAAAACTGTTGGCAGTGATGCAATTAAGTCTCCAACTAGATCAAGACACTGAGTCCCTATTTAAGGAAGAAACAGCGAAACGTGTATCTGAGGTCGACTGCAAGACTCTTCCTGAGGAAGCTTGGCACAATATACAGTTAGCTGTAGACACAGCTGTAAAAGCTGTTAATAAGCTGAGACCCAAAGTTAATAAGAGCCATTGGATTCCTACCGCCTCATCCAAACTGACTGACGCAAGAAGACTGATTACGGCGAGCTCCAAATATGATGAGGAGCGAAAGCTACTCAAACGCAAACTAACACGAAGCCTTCGTAACGACCGTGAACAGTGGTGAGTGACAAAAGCGAAAGAGATGGAAAAGGCATCGGCGATTGGTAACGCCAGACAACTATTTAGATTTATAAGGGAAACAGGTGGTAAAAGGTAAACGACAAGTGAACCAATCTCTGAGAAAAATGGCACGATGATTAGCTCCCAGGATAGAAGACTAGGAAGTTGGAAAGAACACTTTGAGGAGCAGTTTAATTGGCCTACAGCCACACCCAATTTACCGAACATCCAAAACCTCTCTGAATGGGATATAGACACAGCTCCTCCTTCCTTAACTGAGGTTACTAAAGGTGTTACTAATCTGAAACGAGGCAAAGCAGCAGGACCTGATGGAATGACTCCAGAGGTGTTTAAGTAAGGTGGAGACAGTTTAATGTCTGCGTTAATTGAGGTACTAGGCAGTGTCTGGGAATCAGAGGAATTCCGTCGGGTTGGTGTATGTTATTGATTATCCTGATAAACAAGAAGCGAGACAAGTCTTCCTATGATAATCACAGGGGGATTAGCGTGACTAATATGGTGGCATCTAAAGTTCTAGACTCAATAATATTGCGTAGACTAAGTGGTGCTCGGGAGGCACAAACACGAGAATACCAGGCAGGTTTTAGGCCAGGAAGAAGGTGTATTGATCATATCTTCACCCTCCGACAGATTCTAGAACATAGGCATTCCTACCGGTGTCCAACAATCATTATATTTCTTGACCTAAAGGCGGTATTCCATTCTATCGACCGAGAGGTACTCTGGCGATGCTTGGCTGTAAAGGGAATGCCGAGAAAATACATTGCACTGATTAAGGCACTCTACTCATACTCATGCAGCCAGGTGAGGGCTTACGGTGAGTTGTCATCTGAAGTGGTGACGACTAGTGGCATCCGTCAAGGATGCCCATTATCCCCATTTCTATTCAATTTCATCATAGATGTACTAATGGACTTAACCCTAATTCACTTCAGACTCAGGGATTGACTTGCTACCAGGGAATAATCTCGTCGACTTAGAATATGCAGATGATATAGTCCACCCCGCTAGGTGAAGACGCTGACAAAATGCAGAGTCTTCTGAACACCTTGAGCTGCAATCTGGGAATGTTTGGAATGCGGTTCTCTCCTACAAAATGCAAGATGATGTTACAGGATTGGACTGGACTATATTGACTCCTAGCTTAGAAATAGAGAGTGAAGTGGTAGGTCGTGCTGACCACTTCACTTATTTGGGAAGTTGTATCAGTCAACCCGAACGGGTTGATCGCTGACGGAATCTCAGCACAGATGCAGAAGGCTCGTTTCGCATATGCCAGTTTATGCCATCGCTGGCTTAGTAGACGTGATATCCAGTTGTAGACCAAAAGGCGTGTGTACTGCTCAGTAGTTCGCGCTGTCCTCCTTTATGGCTGTGAGACGTGGCCACTTAGAGTACAGGACATGTAAAGGCTAGCTGTCTTTGATCATAGATGCCTGCGCTCTATCTCCCGTGTGAAGTGGTATATTAGGGTAAGCAATATTGAGGTTAGGCATCTATCGAGTGCTAGGTAAGGACTGTGAAGTTACATCGACTGAGATCGTTAGGACATGTGTTACGCATGCCTAGCCTTCGCCTCCATCGACGGGCAGTTTTAGCTGACATAGGGTCAGGCTAGAAAAGAGCTAGCGGTGGTCAAACCAAAACATCGCACCAGTCAATGAAATCCACAAGAGTTAGTTTAAGCCAGCCAAGTAGGAAGGTGTAGACTTCGTGACTAGTTGGGGTCCTCGGGACGGTAGAAACCAATGAAGGCTAGAGACAATTGGTGATATGGCTCAAAATCGTTCTCAGTGGCTGGTGCAGATGCATCCACTCCTTGTGACTTATAATTTCCAATGAAACCATGTTGTTCTTCGTTATTGCTATTCCTTTTGTCTCATATCCCTGTCTACTGTTTGTATTTTGCATTTCTTCTACTTTCTTCTCTTGCTTTGTGTGCTACATGTGGTGTGGCTACTCGGACTCGGTCGGTTTTCGGCTACTCGAACTGCTGCACATCGGTGCAAAGTTCTATGTTGAAACCAGTCAGTTCCCACTTGTATCATTTACGGTGGCTGCCGTTCTACTCAGCAGACACCAGGTTACTTTTGCAAGCGCACAAAAGTTCATGAGTTGAGGTGTGATGGCCATTTCAAATGCTATTAGTCAGATATTCTGAATTTCACTGTTTTTATATAATGACAGATATGACCCTAGTCGACTTCAACAACTTAGAGTTTAACTTCTTACCAGTTGATTTAGAGTGTTTATCTTAAAAATCTGGAGAACTCCATATGTGGATATGTAGTCTAAGCGTCCACTATCGGCAACCATTCCCAATATTGGTCAGAAAAGAGTTAGCGGTGGTCAGACACATCTATGAAATCTCTGACCGTCGCTTTGAACCAGCCACATAGGAAGGTGTAAACTATCTGATTGATGTCCATCAATAGATATAGGCTCTTGATGATATGGCTTAAAATAGTTCTCAATCGCGAGGGCTGTTCTGAAATGTAATGAATCTAAATGCTGTACTTGTGCGCAAAGGTTTACACTGACAAATCAGTCCGCTCCTCCGTAATATTCAAACATATCTCTGATCTAAGTGAAGAACATTCGTAGTGTTCGAAATGGAAAAGTTGAGTGTATAATAACCTCGTAAGAAGACCGTGTGTGTGTGTCTGTTTAAGGAGTCCAAAAGACAAGTGAGTCAGTCATCCTTTTGCATGAGTAACTTCAAACTTGTTTAATTTCTTGCACTAAAAACGCGTCACACTTACTATCCTATAGTTAGCTAATGTATTTCTTTCGTGATTTTCTATATTTCGACCTCATCTATTGATAATATTCATTTGTTATCATTAGTACCTAGATCCTTGGCTGATGATGCAACCGTTTCGTCGGAAGAGGACTCCACACTACCCTTGGCAGCTGTAGGAAGTGAAAATGATGCATACGAGGGATCGCCTGCAATCAATGCTTTGGTAGCTTTCAGTAAACCTCCCTACGGTCTCTACTCTGGACGGCGCGAAATAAACTTACCTGTTGGGAAAGTTGCATCTATCGTAGCGTCTCTAGCCTATACTAATCCTGCTAACAGCCAACAACATTTCACACTGGATTTCATCGAAGGTGCTCTTCACTATCCCATGTACTATGACTACCACATACAAAACTTTACGAAGCAGCGTCTCCATAAAACTTTGGAACCCGGTCAGGAGGTTTGTTGAATTTTCCTAGCTTAACTCGATCCAGGCTTCTCTTTATTACAGGTTCAGGCCAGCAGTTGAGTTAGCTGGTCGATCATTCGATCTTTCTGTGGTTGTTTACTATCACGATAACAATAACATTTATTATGCCCATAAGTTATTTAGTCAAACTATTAATGTAAGTGCGTGGTTTTGCATTCATAACAATTTCATGTAGCTTTATGAGATTGAAGAGGGCGTAGACACACAGTTAATATTCCTCGTTGTTCTGGTGATTGCTCTCAGTATTGCAGTACTCATTGGCGCGTGGCACTGGTTCACTTCAAAGGCTCATCGTCGTCAGCCTACCAAACAGTCTTCGAAGTTGGTCGAAAATAATGCTGACAGCAGTGTAGTGGAGAATGAATATTTAGCACTGATCAATGATAAGTCTCAAGCGAAGAAAGGTAATTTAGTTGAAATTCACTTTTGGCTGTGAGGAATAATGTGCAGTTTAAATTTTAAATCAAGTATTCTGATCATATTGTCACGCTGAACTCAACTACATTCATCTGAATGTAGTGATAGTTTTTACTAAATTTATAAAGTAATGGAACAACTGTTAGTCCAAAACTAGAGTATTTCACATATTCCAGCCTGGTGGCTCCTGTGTTGCTGTCGAAACAATGTTAATTGTTGCCATTCTAGTCTCTCACTACTCCAGTAACTTCAGTTTCATTTCATATACGTATAAATCTTACAAAAGTATATCAGCACGGTCGACTAGTGTTTCTAAAGAGTCCTTTTGTTCACGCGAGCTAGGCATGTACAGTGGGTACCAATCCACATTAAAGCCATGGTAATTTACTACCCGTCTCACTCACGTGAACTGTCTTCAAAGTACTCCCTACTTGACGTTGCAGAAATTCTCGGCTTAAATGAACTGTATCCTTATTGTTATTTAGCAATGAACTTTAACATATGTTTAACCTTTTTAGGTCGATCTGACCAGACGGTACGTCGCCGACAAGGAAGGCGTTGAATCATCCGAGGTCTTGCAGACTAGTCCGGAGACCAACAGTCATCTCGTGTATACATTTGTAGAAATGTTTATACGTATAATATCGTCTTGTATTTTTATTCTTCTTGCTTTATTTTATTTTCCTTGTACACCTTTCTTTGTTTACTTATACGACTGACTAGTTAGCGATGTCAATAAAGTTTATTTCTTTGGTTTACCTCTGGTTCTTCAAAAATCCTTTTTGTATTTAAAGAGTATCGATTAATGAGTAGTAATGGTTTTATATTAAATAACAGAATATATTGTGCCACTGGCGTGATATAAGTAAAGAAAAGACGGGTATAAAAAGTGTCTAACATGCACGGAAACTCTAGGTAGTTGCAATGATATGCTGAATAAAATAGCAGTAAACGCAGCATAAATCGCGAGTTTGGTTATGCAGGGATTGTTCATTATGTATTCTTCTTCAGTGAGGTTTGATTCTTCGTCCAAATAGTGAATTTCGGCATTCTTGGCCGAAACTTTGAGATGCAGGATTGAAGAAAAACTATGGGGAACCAAAGACAGCAAGCGATCATCTGTAAAATTAAAGTAAAAGTACAGTTAAGTGTTTATCGCTGGTTTTTGATTTGACACTGCTTATTACCGGCAGTCACTACCTGTTTAGCCATCTATGACTGTTGTGAGAATGGTTTCCTCACCCCACTATCGCTTCCACTTGATTGAACTGGACAGTGGATCCGAGAGATCGACTTCTGTAGGACGAAGGTTACATCTACTAAATCACTTCGTGACACAAAGATTCCTTTAAAGAAGAAAAGCTAATGCAATCAGACCTTGGTGTTTATGGACATGGACACTAGTATTTGGAAGTGTCATGTATCTATAACCCGTTAAAAAATAATCCCTTTTGTGAGATTACACCTCTCCCGCACATCTGGAGACAGTGATAATCAAAAAAACAAATCCATTCATCGTTATCTGATCGTCCTAGAGGTGACTAAAAAGTTTTCAAATGAAAAGTAAAGTTATTGGCCTTTGGGAGAATGTGTGAGATATGGAAACAAAAGAATGGGAACTGATATGAACTTGTCATGAGGACACTTTTCCTTAGAGATCAAACAGTCTTTTAGAGAAGCTAGTAGTGGTGTTCCGCTAGCTGAAACTGCATTTAGTAGTCATCAGTGAGGAGCAGAACTGTGGTTTGCAACTCCGTACAGAATAGTTGTATATGGTATGACACGTCGATACGATGTTGTTTATATACTCATTAGGTTTCGAGCAGAATTTATTGCCCATTATCATGAGCATAAAGTATTAGTAAAATCTAATCATTAGCGGATGATTTCCTCGCAATGCCAGGCTGTGAGTCACTTCCCTACAGATGCCCCTGAGTTTTATACAAACCCTCCTCATCGATCGTAAGTGTGACACAACAGTTCTCCTATCATGTTCAGCTTACTACAGCGTACTTCAAACATGACCGTCATGCACACACTAAGTCGAAAGTTTATATTCACAAGACATCAAATAGCACATTGATTACTTTTGTCTGCAAATTTCATAAGATAACTGAGGATGATGCATAGATAAGGTAATCTTGGGATATTTATTCATACTTCACAACTAAAAATCCATCATCGTTTTCAGTGGACCTCAAGTGTCTTCACATCGTCTAACTGTTTTTGAGTATCTTAGTAAATAAATAAATTGTAGGAAGTCTTACCTTTAGTATTACCTTAGGCTGTAGCTTTGGAGCGATGAAGCAAGTTAGAATCAAGAAATGAAACAAAAGTAAATCACTAATATGCAATCCGACAAAACCAACGATGCACAGAAGAGATGAACTCGTCAGGAAGTGTAGAAGTGAATTTCGATATTGAACTCGATGTACGAAAATACAGAAGTTTATCAGTACGTGACGAATATGAACCAGGCGTCTACAAAAGTTCCAATAACACCAATTATCTTCGTAGCTTGGGGGATTTGTGAACATCCTATGAATAGAGAAAATAGTTTAAATAGAGCTTACCTTGATAAAACTATAGGCCCGAAGTAGTCTGTCAAGCTGAAAAGCAGTCCCGAACAACCCACAACAAGCAGAACTGGAGGGTCATATATATGTGGAGTCCTCAAAAATAAACTTATCCAAATTTTACTATTATGTAAAAAATGAACATACTGTACACTACTTTGTTTTAACCAAAAACTCTGTACTTCGAACTTCCCTCGAGTTTTAAATAAATATATAATTTTGCCTTCGACTCTCCGTCTTCTCCACCATCTCAACTGCCGTCGATCAATTATAACAACCTGCTTTCCATCTCGAATTTTTTTAGGATCACCGTAGCCTCCTTCTACGCACTTTGGTCGACCTCCGGCAACGTCAACTCTGGAGAATTAGAACTGGAGCAGTCTTCCCGCAGCACTTCTGGAATCCATTACGTTTATTGTGGAATTTGGATCTTTGTAAACCCAAGTAACAAAACTTTAATATATTCTTCCCGTAAACTCAATTGATTTGGTATTTTGTTTTCTATTTGAATTTGGGTTAATAAGCTAACAGAGCAGTTTCAGTTGTGACAACTCTTGCGCCTGAAGAATTCGTGTTGTTATTGGATGCTGACGTAATTATTGTGGTGGACTTTCTGCTATGTTAGCTTATTAACCCAAATTCAAATAGAAAACAAAATACCAAATCAATTGAGTTTACGGGAAGAATATATTAAAGTTTTGTTACTTGGGTTTACAAAGATCCAAATTCCACAATAAACGTAATGGATTCCAGAAGTGCTGCGGGAAGACTGCTCCAGTTCTAATTCTCCAGAGTTGACGTTGCCGGAGGTCGACCAAAGTGCGTAGAAGGAGGCTACGGTGATCCTAAAAAAATTCGAGATGGAAAGCAGGTTGTTATAATTGATCGACGGCAGTTGAGATGGTGGAGAAGACGGAGAGTCGAAGGCAAAATTATATATTTATTTAAAACTCGAGGGAAGTTCGAAGTACAGAGTTTTTGGTTAAAACAAAGTAGTGTACAGTATGTTCATTTTTTACATAATAGTAAAATTTGGATAAGTTTATTTTTGAGGACTCCACATATATGCAGTAGGAGAAACAAAATGGTGATTGAAAATATCACAAGCAGAGTCGATCGAAGACTTTTCCAATTCAATATATTCTCTAACTTCACAATTACACTGAACCAGTCTTGAAGATCTGCCATCAAAACCCTGACTTCCGGGTCTTCATTCACAATTCTCTCTACCTCCAAGACATCACGTGTTCTTACAGGACCTTTCATTGTTGGGAAGATAATCAGTACATTCAGTGATTTGTATCACTCCAACATTTCATCTACAAAATAGAATGATAATGTATATTAAGCAGTGGCAGTGTCACAGTACATTTCACTTCATTTAATACATTTGTGGTTGGAAAATTTTAACATTCTGTTATTCTCTCACATCCATCATAATAAGTTTTCAGTAACTTAGGCGCATATCATGTTTAGGCGATGACCGTATAATCTACTATTCACTTATATATGCCTGGCATATATAAATGAATAGTGGATTATACTGTCGTTGCCTAAACATGAAAACTTATAATGATGGATGTGAGAGGGAAAGAGAAGAAAAGACTGTTAAAATTTTCCAACCACAAATGTATTAAATGAAATGAAATGTACTGTGACACTGCCACTGCTTAATATACATTATCATTCTATTTTGTAGATGAAATGTTGGAGTGATACAAATCACTGAATGTACTGATTATCTTCCCAACAATGAAAGGTCCTGTAAGAACACGTGATGTCTTGGAGGTAGAGAGAATTGTGAATGAAGACCCGGAAGTCAGGGTTTTGATGGCAGATCTTCAAGACTGGTTCAGTGTAATTGTGAAGTTAGAGAATATATTGAATTGGAAAAGTCTTCGATCGACTCTGCTTGTGATATTTTCAATCACCATTTTGTTTCTCCTACTGCATATATATGACCCTCCAGTTCTGCTTGTTGTGGGTTGTTCGGGACTGCTTTTCAGCTTGACAGACTACTTCGGGCCTATAGTTTTATCAAGGTAAGCTCTATTTAAACTATTTTCTCTATTCATAGGATGTTCACAAATCCCCCAAGCTACGAAGATAATTGGTGTTATTGGAACTTTTGTAGACGCCTGGTTCATATGCGTCACGTACTGATAAACTTCTGTATTTTCGTACATCGAGTTCAATATCGAAATTCACTTCTACACTTCCTGACGAGTTCATCTCTTCTGTGCATCGTTGGTTTTGTCGGATTGCATATTAGTGATTTACTTTTGTTTCATTTCTTGATTCTAACTTGCTTCATCGCTCCAAAGCTACAGCCTAAGGTAATACTAAAGGTAAGACTTCCTACAATTTATTTATTTACTAAGATACTCAAAAACAGTTAGACGATGTGAAGACACTTGAGGTCCACTGAAAACGATGATGGATTTTTAGTTGTGAAGTATGAATAAATATCCCAAGATTACCTTATCTATGCATCATCCTCAGTTATCTTATGAAATTTGCAGACAAAAGTAATCAATGTGCTATTTGATGTCTTGTGAATATAAACTTTCGACTTAGTGTGTGCATGACGGTCACGTTTGAAGTACGCTGTAGTAAGCTAAACATGATAAGAGAACTGTTGTGTCACACTTACGATCGATGAGGAGGGTTTGTATAAAACTCAGGGGCATCTGTAGGGAAGTGACTCACAGCCTGGCATTGCGAGGAAATCATCCGCTAATGATTAGATTTTACTAATACTTTATGCTCATGATAATGGGCAATAAATTCTGCTCGAAACCTAATGAGTATATAAACAACATCGTATCGACGTGTCATACCATATACAACTATTCTGTACGGAGTTGCAAACCACAGTTCTGCTCTTCACTGATGACATCAGGCATCATAGTTTACACTTCTTTTGAAATGTGGAGTAGGCTTATGGTGAAGAAGTTATCATGAATATTACGCATACATAATTTTA